CAAGCGCCCCCTGCTGCACCATGGTCACAGACTCCATTTAAACCATATGCTCTGCTACGAGCCCCTCGGCACCTCTCGGAAGGCGCACCCTTCTCCTGACAGGAGCATCCCTAACCCGCAGCCGCTGCGCACTATCCAGTCCGCAGCGTGGCGCGTACAGATTCCCCACCATTTCAAACCAATCTCGCAACGAGCTCCGGCGACGCCATTTCTCTACGTGCCATGCGCGCAGGCAGAAGGCCCCTTACCACATACACTCACAATGGCTCTACACGAACTTCCTTCGGCGGCTGATACCAAGCTTGTTTGCCGTCTGAGAAGGCAGGTCCAACCAGCGGGGAGATATCTGATTGGGGAAAGAAATAATGCAAGCTGACCTGTAGTCAGTACCCAGCTTACCCCATCCCAGCGAGGAGATTAATAATAGGTCTCCTGCGAAGCGAAACAAGACATCACACTTATGGACTCTACGGATCCTCTCATGATAGCCACTTATTCTGGATTGCGAAATCGATCATATAATCACATAGAATACAGATCGATCTACTGTTGAGTCTCCCACATAATTGATGAAATTATGCTCTTTGAACACTAAGATTTCATACAGAGCATTCCAGTTCGTCCACCTGTTTCACGAAATAACGAGCTCGCGAACGTACGACAAAAGACGAATTAATTAACCAACCTTAGTACTACTCTTGGCTACCGACGCTACTCGCAAAAAAAATGCGATTGCAAGCCACGCCGTGGGAACGCGTAACGGCAAGAGTTATGGCGCGTTGTCGACAAACTAGCAGAGCGCGAATGCAAACTCCGCTTCTCTGCTCTCTCTCTCTCGGTCACAACACACCTCAACATAATCAACACACACCAAACACAGCACACAAATAACACACACAAACACACACACAACACACACACACAGAAGCACACAACGTCACACCCACTTTGGCCTCGTTTTCTTGGAAACAGTGTACTACCCGTTCTCCTCGCCCAGGCTAATATGTTACACTCGCAAGATCGTCTCGAAGATCTAAGCGAGGTTCCGCAGTCACTGTTGTATGAACTTTCTCAGAGCTTGCGCCAATCCCAATTGCAGAAACCCCCGGGATTAGATAGGCGGGTCCCAAATGTAGCCAATTAAACCGCTATTAATACGCGCGCCATCCGATGCTGTGCCACGGCATGTTAATAATGCATGCATACAGAGGGAATTCCCTCCGTCGATGGAAGCCAGCAACAGCTATTGTCCTCCTTCCGAAGCCGCCGATAAGGCATCACTGATCCGGCAGGTCCTCATCGCCAATCATGCTTACTGACCAACAGCAGGCAAAATGTGTTGGAGCGGATTATCTGCAATCGTATTGATCATTATTACAGAGCGGCTCAAGCATTGCGTGTATAATCATTACGCTTTAGAAAAATCGCGAATCCACGGTAAGATGGCTGATTAAGTAGTCATCGACATCACACGCAACGCTCATTGAAGGCAAACGATGGAGAGCACCATGCGTCCATGAAGTATGGCCCTATAGTTCCCTAGTGACGTGAAAAAACGCCTTAACAGTGCATAGGCAGCTGCGCATCTTTCTGCGCTCCACATTTACGCTGGAGTCACAAGTTACATCAAACTTGTAAAAATTGACTTAATGAGAGAGCGCTCTATATAAAAACTGGGCTGAACCACAATTTCTTTATTAACTGATCACTAGGCGATGTATTCGTCTCCCACAAGCTCACGGGTACATATATACTTTGTCCTATAATGAGTGGATCAAACATATGTCACATATGACCCCTGTTAAGATTCGTAGTTGCCGAGAAGGGCCGCTTTGTACTATCGACGTACTCGGCATCTCCTCTCTTATATATCGACCTCTGCTGACTTCATTGCAATGCTGTCGTTGTACGCCATAGCATCAGTGAACAACTCACGCCATATGCAGCCCTCCGACCAACACCCTGCCCTGTGCGGAGACTCCGCACCCTTCCGCTCTTACTCCCTCTCCCTCCGCCCTCCACGGCCACACACGATGGGCCCCGGCGAGCGCAACGCCTAATAACACAACAGCTGCTTAGCTTGGCTTTCCACCCGATCAGAAAATGATTCGACAGCTCGTAGTTTACCTCCCTTAAATTGTAGAAAGCCTGCAACTCAAACACGCAGCTGACACTGCAGATATCTTGCCGGCTTGCACTATTACTGCCTCCAAGACCTGTCGTCTCTGCGCACCCGAGCGTCACACCTGGCCGAAGTCACGCTCTCCCAGAAAGGCATCTCGCCCATGCCACTCGCATCTGGCACGCCTTATCTTTGCTAGGGTCCTGGGCAAAGAAGCCGGATGTCCTCGAGGCTGCTGCACCTACCGTCAAGGTAATCTCCCATTCTTCTCTACGCACCCCCTCGTTTGGCCTCGACTCGCCCCAATGGGCATCATTCATGTCACCGCCCGCTGCGTCATTAATCCGCGTGTGCCACTCAGAAGTCCGCCTTGCCGCGGGCCTATTCCGTAGCTTTTGCACCCCTCACTCCTTATGATCTCGGCCGTGTGCCTGTGCGCGTTTAACCAGATCCCGACTCACCTCATGCCGCAGGAGATACTAGACTCTATTCTCAACGCCCGGAGGCACCCCTGCCTCCCACACCTGCCCCCATATTCCATTCACACTCGAGCACGCCAAGACCAGGGCGTGTCCCCACCCATCCCTGACCCGGCCAATCCCGCACCCCTCCCCTGCTCGGGGGCTACAGAGCTCGGCTGCCACCGACATCTACTGCAAACAGCACGACTGCGGCCACTGAACGCGCGCACATCAAGCCTCGGCTCCGCATGTCACAATCTTGTCGGAGGTCACCATTCCCTCGACACTCCCCATACCTCTTGCCATCCAAAGGACATCCACTCGGAGAATCTTATTGTTGTGTTAATCCCACTCACGATTCGCAAGACAGCGACGCCGTCAGCCTCTGGACTGTTACCCGACAGTCATCACGCTACGCATTCCCTCCGCCCAATAAACATATCCCCCGCTAGTCTGCCTCCCAGTCTCCCCAACGTGCCCCTCCCCTGTGCATCGAAGTGTCCTACACACCCCCGTCGTGCAGGGCCTTCCTTTCCATTGTCCCACGCTTCCGACACTGGCAAAGGCATTGACAACTCTCCACATGGCCTCCTCAAGACGAAGTGCCACCCCTAGCCCATCTCACCTAGCCTGCTCACTTCGCAGACCAACAAGGACTCTTCTGGCAGGCGGCACCTCTAGCCCCACCTATCGCAAACCGTCCCTGACAGACCTCCGCCCGCAGAAGCAGTTACCGCAAGCCGCAGACTCCCGTATTATCTTCCTCACGTGCGCAAACCCCAACCCACCTCGTTCCTTCCTCGCGACCCTGCAATGCCTGACGGCCTGGTTCCCGCGGACAGAATAGGAGGACGGCGTTTTACGTTGGGTAGCCACTACGATATATGTAAACTCCCACACGCTCGGCGTTCGCGCCCTCGCCTGTGTGTTCTCAGGAAGATTTGCCCCTGCCCCACGTAATTATTCACACAAATCACAACACCACACACACCCTCACACACGACACCCAAACCACCCCTCACTCTAAGCCCCTACTCATTTCAATTCCATTATGTATATGATTAAAAGTAAGCTTGTTGACAATTAAATTCCGAAAACCACTACTTCTTCGTGTTCCTTCAATAATTCTACCCACAGCTTACTTCTTTTAAACTTTTCACCAACACCACCTCCTACAGAGAACCTCCTTATACACGTTCCTTCGTCCTCCTCCGCCCTACTGTATTCTCCTTTGAAAGGAAGACAACACTCTATCATTCCACTCGCTCTTCAAAACCCCGTTCGCGACACATCGCATTCCCAACAGAACCCCACC